ATGGAACTGTATTGTATTCTATCAACTTTTTTTAAATGTGTATTCGCTGCTGATCCGTACAGAACAGCTCCATAATCAATGATAGATCTTATGTATGCCCTATAAAAGTGCAGGGAGGTATTAGGATCCGCTCCCCACTTAGTTTTAGTGACACATTTTAACAGGTTTATACCTTTCTCACATTTATTAATAGTGTGTGTAATATGGTCGTTCCAGAGAAGTTTATTATCTAACACAATACCTAGATATTTGTAGGTTCTCTGAATAGGTATATCTATACCACACAAATTAATTTTTCGAGGATTGTTCAATCTGTGTCTGGTAAAGACGACAACTGCAGATTTGTCAGGAGATATTGTAAAATCGTGTTCACTAAACCAACTTTTAAGGCAATAAACAATATATTTAAGTTCTGTAATGCATTGATTGTAACTATTCTGTACGGTATAAAAACAAAAATCGTCAACGTACTGAATACAGTTGACATGGTTGCTGAAAATATTGTGCAAATCATACATATACATATTGAATAAAAGAGGGCTCAGGACTGCCCCTTGAGGTAATCCTTGATTGACCGTTCTAGGCCCGTGTAAAATATAGTTTTGATCTTTAATAAATATTTTTCTATTTCTGAATAAATTTACCACATTGCAAGCTATTGAATTATGAATGTCTAATGAACCTAATTTGTCGACAAGAATGTTTAAGTCAACTGCATCGTAAATATAGCCAAATCCACTTATTTTTTGGTAATCTATCTTAGGAAGAATTTATGTCATACTTTTTTGAAACATCCTGTATTTTATATCTGTTATTTATGCTTACCTACAAGCCTCTCTAGAGTTCTAAAATGGGGTTAAAAGTAGGTGTATACAGTGTGTCTACTTAAGTTGGAACCATGTTGAAAACTTTTATTATTAGTTTTATGAAAAAAAGTTATTCTTGATAAAAAGTTCTGCATAGTCTGAAACCTATAATGCAACCATAAGATATCAAATTTTTTAATAGTATACGAGGTATGTAAAAAAATTGTAAATTTTGCACAACCTTTATTTTTGACAATATCGAAATTTGTTATAAAGAACAGTTGATCAAAACTGAAAGGTACATTCAGATATGCAATTTTATCATTTATCGTGAAAAATAAGGTTTTGATATTTTTTACAAATTTTTCTAAATTGATTCAAATAAAAAAATTTGATATCTGCATTTAAAGTTTTGGACCATGCAGAATTTTTTATCAAGAATAATTTTATTTCATTAAACTAGAAATAAAAAAGTTTTCCATATGGTTACAACTTAAGTAGACACGCTCAGAAGTCATGGTAGGGGAAGCAAACGCGATACTAGCGCTAGCTGCGGATAATTCGTACATTTACGGGCGATATTTTGTAATTTTGACATATTAAATTCACATATATGTTCAGCATGAACTAGATTTCTGCCTTTGATTATTGTATGTGGCTGGAATGCAATTTTGTGACTTACTAACAGGAAACCAGTTTTAATCATTCATTCTGTTTTCTTTCGAACAAAAATAAAAATATAAATAATCCTTCGGATTATACATTTTAACTTCACGCTATTATTTAATGGTATTTTTTATTTTGACAGAAAAGTTTAATTCTTTAAAGACATGTTATTAGACTTCTCATACATTTTCCTGTAAATACTGTTGCCTGCCATATTTTATTATTGATTTTTATTTATTATACTTGTTTTACAAATCCATACACTTTTATTTAAACTAACATATACACTTTTTAATTAAGAATTCTTTTAAAAATTGTATTGTCAGTATAGGCAAAAATAGTCCATTAGTACATAAATGAATTGGCGCTGCTGTCACGCACGGAGCGAATACACGATAACTCAAAAACCTATAGAGCGAACAACACTAAATTTTAAATTTAAGCTTTACCTTAGAATGAGCTTATTAGATTTTGGACATAATCGAAGGATCAGCGGGGGTAGGTACTTTATAGGGAGTCACTTTTATATTTTAAGGGATATTTCTGTTATTTATAATTAGAGAAGAAAATTCCTGAAATAAAAGTTGTTTGGGATGTCTTGTTCTATAATTTTGGTCATAATATTTTCTCTAAAATGCATCTTTAGAGAAATTTGAGAAATAATGCAAAATTCAAATCGCTCACTGCGCCGCCTCTACTGAAAGTCATGACTTTAAAGGAAAGTTATGTACCTATTGCACACATCAGATTTTTTTTTAATTGACAGGCCGAATCGCAGGCTAACCACTATATGTGTATACATTATTATTATTATTAAAACGATTACTGGTAGTAAGAATATAAATAGAAAAATAATGTATTTGAAAATTTGAAGTTGTTTCTGTGTGTTTTATATAGTTCTATAAAAACTTGTGTGTTTTGTCAACAACAACCCTTATTAGGCGATTCTAGGGGCGAAAAAAGTATTTTTTACAATTTTTACTCCTTGTTAAGACAAAGTAAATTTACACTGACAAAGTAAACGTTTGTAAAAATTTTGGTGGTTTCATATGAATTTAAAATTTCACCCCTTTTTAACCTCATTTTCGAAATCTAGAGAGGATTATAGGTAATCATAAATATCAGATATAAAATATATTCTGTAACGTTTTTGAATCTTTACCACGCAAAAATCAGTGTTATAATTTCAATATTTTATCATTATTTGGGACTAAATGGACTCCAAAATAGGCGGGCAGAAAATTTTTATATTTTTAACCTATTTTTGGCAATTTTTGAAATTTTTTACCACACTTCTGAAATTTTGGTATCAAATTATTAAAAAATTGCCAAAGTACAATTTTTGACCGTATTTTTTCCATGACATATATGACAAAAGAAACAATGTAAACAAAGTTTGGTTACATCGAACGTTTTTTTTTAAATTTTTAAAAAAATTCTACGTTCGTGAACCGCTAATGAAATTTGTCTGACGACGATGGTTCGTCTATTATTTAGATATATATACTAATGATTACCATTAACTCCAGGCGGTTAATACGAAATTTTTTGTTCGATTTTTCCCTCCCCTAGCTCCCAAACGGCCGGCCTACCACGCATATAGTGTGGAAGAAAAAATCGTCAAATTTACTGTAAAGCTCAAATACCACGAGTCAGACGGTTAACATGACATATTTATCGTATGCGTTATTTCCTTGACTATATATTTTCCTTGTGTATACAAACAGTAAAGTTAAATAGTATATTACATAACAAGAGTAGTAAGAAGCTAATTACATGCGAGTAGAAAAGTTGAACACGAGCCGCGTTAGCGGCGAGTGTAGTAATTCTACGAGCATGTAATTGCTCTTACAACTCGAGTTATGTACTATACTTTATCTACAACCACATTCATACATTCATAATAAAAAACTTTCATAATCTATAACATTTATTAAATACAATAATTCATTAGCATATCATTGATTCTTAGAATAATAATTAACGGTAAAATTTTGGCAATTTTGAATAATTATGGGTTCGTTAGTATTTTGAGGTATTTTATAAGAAGTAGATGGCACTGAAAGAGATGATGTAGATGGTGCAGAGGAATTAGACTCTATTTGATTGCTGTTATTTATGGTTTGAAGGATATTATAAGTAGAAATATTCTCATTTATTTCTGATGTGCTAGGTGGAAAATGTTTTTTCAATTGACTGTATAATTTTATGAGCCGTTAAAGTTTTATTATTTAATGAATTATCAACATATCCTTCAGCAGTCGTTGAGGATTTCCAGCCTGCATGCCTTTTTAATGCGAATAAATCACCACCTGCATTAATTAAAATTGTGGCAGAAGTTCTTCTTAAACAATGGCCGGTGTATAAATTGGGATTGGGCAAGTTTAAATATTGTGCTATTTGTTTGGGTACATTTCCAATTTTATTTATACCGACCACTTGTTTGGTGCATTTTCCTTTTTGATAGTTTATGAAAAATTGATTTGTATCAAGATTTTGCACTTGCTGGCGATGTTGCATATATTGTTTGCATATTTGATAAAAGGTTCCGTTAATCACAAAAGACCTGCTTATTTCAATAATCAGTATGTCACCAACATCTCTTATATCCTTGATTTGTAAATTTTTTAATTCTTGTTTCCTACATGCGCCACAAACTCCAATAATTAGAATCACCTTAAATAAAATATTGAAAAGTAAAATCACTAGCCAATACTAAATTAACTGAAGGAAAATTGCTTTAGATACAAACCTTTGTTAATAAGTATTATGAATCAGGAGCTTCATTTAAAAATTTACTTATTTCATCAGAAGAAAAATTTTTTGATTTATTGCTTTTAAAACCTTCCGATTGCCTTTTTAGGAATGCCTTTAATTTTGGGTATGTTTCAATATTCACGTTGTTTTTTATGGAAATGACGGTCCTTAACATGGAATATATTGCCCATATTGATGATGGTTTAAATTGTTCCATTAGGTCCCCAAAATATGCCAAAAGCATAATCCATAAACTTTTGGTATACTATTTCATACCTTGTTCTTGATTTTGTTGGCAGTAATTTTTCAGTGGTATTGGCAGCTTTTTCAAGAATTTTTAGGTGGAGTTTCTTGAAATTCATTTTCGCTATCTGACGAAATCATATTCATTTAAAAAAATAATGCTGTAACTACAAAAATGGCGATTTTATATTTCTGAAATGTCAAAACTTATTAATCGTAACCATGGCGATCACCTAGCAACGGACTAATATGGGTAGTTTGATAAATGAAACTGTTATGTAATATATATATTACGTAATAGTTTTGAATTTCATTACGTAACAGTATCTGTAATGATGTATTTACTTATAAACAAAACGGTACATAATAGGCGATTTACTGGGGTGGTTGTAGATAAAATTGTTTAAGTGTCAGTTTAGACTTAACTGTACGACTTTTTTGTCTTTGTACGTTATGACCTACTTAATCAACAATTTTTTGTTGATCACTCTTTAACTACCACTGTTAATTAAATATTTATTTTTACAGTTACGACATCGACCTAAACCGGGATACATGAAGAAACAACCAGATGTAACTTCAAATATGAGAACCATTTTAGTCGATTGGCTAGTTGAAGTGGCAGAAGAGTACAAATTGCACACAGAGACGCTTTATCTTGCAGTAAATTACATTGACAGATTTCTCAGTTATATGTCAGTGGTTAGGGCAAAATTGCAACTAGTTGGAACTGCTGCAATGTTTCTTGCCTCGTAAGTATATTCTTGTTTTAACTTTGTATTTATGAAATATTTAGTAACGCAAAATAGCAGAATTTGTTTATATTACAAGATTGTTTTTCTCCAATCACATCAACATGTCATTATTTTAAATATTTTTTTACAAAAAGGTTATTTATGAATGTTACTTGAGGAACATTGCTACTGTAAAGGTACACATTTACACCTAACATTTATGTCTGACAGTTGTTTAGTCCAATGTAAACAAAAAAAAAATTCTCTCGGATATATATTTTTGAGTGTTTACACTGGACTAAACAACTGTCAGACAAATCTCATGCAATAAATGTCAGATGTAAATGTACCTTTAACCTGCTAGTAGACTGGACAAAAAATTATTTTGAAGGTTATAGTAGAATCAGGAAATAATAGGCAATAGAATGTTAAGAAATGCTAACAGACAAAGTTGCCAAATGCAATTTTTTAAAAACCTATTTCTTGATGAGAAAAAAAAAGCGGAAATATTTGATTGGATAAAAATGAAGAGAATATGTTTAAAGTAGAATTACTTTTTAACGTGTGGCAATACAGTTTTTGGACTTTTTCGAAAATAAAATTTTACACTTAAAAGAGCTTTAATTAAATCAATATTTTTACACATTAATTAACAATGTTTAACCCAAGGATTAGATTAGATTAAGAGTTGGACGTTATTTGTCCTTGTCCACCGCGACCTTTTCAGATCTATTGTGGGACTCCGTTTGTTTTAGAGTATGTCGTCTAGCCTGGTCTTTTTTATTAGACTTACAGCCGGTTGCAAGAACGATTGTTAAAATCTCTCGTTAGCTAAAGAACAAATAACTAACTGAGATTAAAACTGGCAACGCCGCTTTTCCAACTGACAGTCTGTCGCTTCACAGCTGATCACGGGAGATTTTTAAAATAATGAAGTTAATTTGGTAATATTTTTTCGAAAATTAATTGCAAATAAAGTAAAAAATGAAATTGAGGCTCAACCTTTACGACTATGGTTAAATGTTAACACTATCCCTATCTTTTTTCGACATCGGCTCATATTTTTTAATAGACAGAAGCAAGGACAGTCGGTTCAGAGAAAAAATGTTTTACTCATGAATATAATTTCTTAAAACAAATAGAATGGCTTAAATGAAGAAAAGGTTCCAGTAAGTCACTGGAAAATACTCATTTAACTGCCCTTCTAGTAGTGCTCGATTAAAAATCTGTGATTTGTGGTTTAAAGCAACAGTATTTAAATATAGTTTGTCCCTATTATATAAACTAAAACTATTTTTTCTTGTACTTACTTTACATTTTCTCTTCCCGTTTGTCATGGAAAAGCATATTTCTTTCTACTGTACATTATTTTTTCAAATAGAAGTACATAATTAAACATATGTTTAGTTTTTATCATATGTGCAAACCCCATTTACTGTGGTAATATTTCCAATGTATTTTCTATTTTTAACAGACTTCAAAAAAGAAGTAGGTTCTCAATTCATCGGAATATATTTTTTTATGGATATTCAGCGACAATTCTTTACTATGTTGTCCGATTTCTGATTATTTTTTTGTTAGAAAGGGGGCTCCTCAGAGATGGTTTCTTAATATAAATTTGGTAAAGATGTGATGATGGGATTCATGAGAAAATAATCACTCTTCGTATTTTGTAGTCGTCAGTTTTTTTAAATTAATTTTGTAACTTATACATTTTTCAATGAATCAAAGTAAAAAACTGTTTGAATTGGGAAATTTCTAAAGTTCAGTATCTATTTTTTAGTTAGAAATGGAAAACTGGAGGAGAGATGGTAAAATCTCTGGTATGAGAAATAAATTCACATTTGACCTATTCTTCAAAATCATATACAGTTCCTTTAATCCCTTCAATTTGGATGCTATATTTCTTTGCTAATAAACTAATGCTAGAATTTATTTTTTATTTAAGAACAACTTTCTATTTGTACAATATTGGAATTTCTAGATTGTTGAGAAAATTAAATAATTATGATATGATAATTAGCATTTATAGGTTGTGTAATAGTCGAAATTTAGAATATTAAATAATTACTATGTATAAATTACACTTATTTACCTTAATATATTTGCTTTCACATTTATAATTTACAGATTTGTAGGTCATAAATAAAACACCAAATTCATTTTAAAATTTTATTTTTTAGGATTAAATTAATATACACAAAATACATAACATAATAAAAAAATATAATAAATCTACAATAAATAAAAATACATTTAATTTGCCCATCATTATTAAGAAATCTAATTCTAGAAAATAAACATTCAATTCAGGATTTCTTTTTGGTTATGACAGGTTTCAAGTTGACTAGTAATTTTGTGTTAAAATTTACAGTTTGCCTAACGTATTGGATATGTCTACTTAGCCAGTTCCACATATTTAATAAATGTATAAAAAGAAATGGATTATTTCAACATAGGTACAAACAATAAAAATGTTATTACTGATAGTAGTTTACTGCTAAATATTTACTTTTTCTGAAAATAGGCAGGAAAAAACTATAAAATAATATTAAATATGGTTGAGAATGTATAAACACATAACATTTATACGAATTAAAAAGTGTTTAACAATATAAGTAGAGATGCCAAGCTCCACAGTTATATGACTTAAAATTATTCATGCTATCATCTCATGAAATATTTTAAAATACTTAGCAAACACCTCACGGTGGGCTTGAACATGATTTAAATGCGAAGTTCTAGCACCACCAATTTTCTTTCGGCATTCGATTCCCGGAGTCATAAGAAGGCTGGAAAAAAAAATTTACCGTAAGCCTTAGAGCCGATTTTGAAAAAATCGACTTATTTCAATGAATAACGAAAATATTCAAAAATATGCATTTTTGGAATTGGAACACGCTAAATTTGGTTAAAATTGATATCCAAAGACTCCCCAATGGAAGATCAAAGACAAGCAAACCTTTTCCTGGATCCACACCAAAAAAAAACTCTGCACGTACCTTTTTACGGGAAAAGGAATGATAAAAAAATTAAAATTTTGATAATTAAACTGATAATTTTAATGAAAAAAAAAAAAAAATGTTTAAATAATGATTGTACAAGAATGAATAGTTTGATAATTGTGCATTAATGTCTGAAGTAAAGAACAGTAATACAGAAAACGAAATTCTTGTCTTTTTAAACAAATCAACTATTGAGTCACAAGTTATAAATGAACACTATTATATTCTCGTAGTGCGGTCAGTAATTTACTTCCATAATCTGGATGACATTTTTTTTACTTTAAATTTGTCCCACGTTATCTCAAAGTCATGGTGGACAGATTCCATAGCCTGCTCGCTAAAAAACCCCAACCCTTGTTTTGTTTTAGAGCAAAACTCTGGTACATGGAAAAACACAGAATGGACCTTTGGAGTAACACTGATCTGTAGATCTAGATAACTTCTTTTAAATCTGTCTATTGCTTCTCTGTAGTTAGGTTCCAGAGTTATTGAAAAACAAGATTGCACCACTGCTCGAAATTCTCGGAAACATTTAACATAATTTAGACAACCAGGCCTGCATAAATTTTGCAAAACATCAGTTTTATCCAAAAGCAATTTGCATGAATTACCCGTGAATGCAGGGGCCCCATGCACAAATTCGTGGCCGACATTGCACCTTTTGGCCCACTCAAAAGATTCAAATTCGAACTCCATTTTCATCCGATTATAAAGCGTGTTCACTACTCCAAGAATTAAATGCAATTCAGGGGGTGCAATGATGTCAAGAATATGTCTGGAGTCATCCGTGCCTCTAGAAAGAACAGGCAAATTCAAGCAATTTTTGTAATTTTTTGCAAGGGACTTTTTGAAGTTCGCTTTTTCCCATTCTAAATAATTTTCTTGACAGTTTTGTATAGTCCTCTTCTCCCCACAAGTGTCCAAACTTTCTTTCGAGGCGAAACACCAAGTACAGGGAAAGCTACTGGCATGAGACATGATTCCTACCAATATGTTGGCCAGTTTCAAATCGGTCGCAATTGTGCCGGCAAAATCATTTATCTGTAAGAGAGACCATAACATTCTCACATTTTCATGGTTTTCTTGTGTACCTGCAATTATTGCCAGAACAAATAATTTTTTGACTCCGGAATCCTTGAATCTTTTAGCCCCTACGCCCTCTATATATTTTTGTCGACCGTCTATTATAGCAGAATCAGGTTCTTGCACTGTAAGGCAAATCTTAAGAAAACCTCCCCCACCATCAATACCAAACTTCAAATGGGGATTATCATTGTTTCGAGTTGCTTTTATACAATCAATTAAGGCCGGAACATCTGTACAAAATGCCAATATTTCTGTAGAGGTCGTTTTCTCGCCAGCTTTGGATGTTATTATGGGGCAACTTTTGAAATCAAAAAATTCATCTAGCCTGTGGCGGTGTGTAGAAAGTTTCGTCTTCAGATGTGGTTCAAACAGATTTCTTTTTTGGGAGCCAACACGCAAGTCTCTTGCTATGCCCTGAACTACATTGCTGGAGAGGCTGTAATTTGTGGCTATTTTACAAACATCTCCCGCGGAAATCTGTTGCGGGCCTATAGTTTGATTTTTTAGTTTCGGGGTAATTTCAACGTTGAGTGGCTTTCCGTGGATCTGAGATAATGTAGCGGTTTTATTGCTCGAGCTGCGAGAATTTGTGTCTTCATTTAAAACTATGTCCTTTATTAAAGAACACGCCAAATGTTTTCTCTGTTTTAGGGGAAGCGAGTTACTTACATGTTCTTTGAAATTCGAGAAGTGGTTTCCTGGGGTACAAAAATGTTTTTTCCCTACCGAATAAGTTTCACCACATTTTTTTTTGCACTTGTTGCTCCTCTTCTTTTTGTTTTTGTCATTTTTTTTGGTGAAGTTATATGGCCCTGGATCTCGTACCAATTCACACAATGTGCAACTGCACAGCTTTTGAGTTTTTGCCCGAGTATTCTTCTCCAAAATTTTGAACTTTGTATAGTCCGGCATAGCTATTTTCTCAAT